TAAAAACACTCACATGGTCCGTCAGTAGGTCAGACTACAGTACATGCTGAGTCACCCCTCCATCAAACAGGAAGACAACTATGCATGTGTAGGACCACATGTCAGCTATTAACGTGTGTGTGTTTGTGGTGCGGGGGGGGTTGCAAAGACACACTGGAGTCTTTCACTCCCGCTGTGTAACAACCACTCTTTGTAGTCACCCTCTTACTGAGTGAAACGGGGTACTACTGATTGGTATTCAGACCTTGAAGGGCAAGGTTTAAACACATGTTGCATGCCTCCTGTGTTTCTGTGTGTGCCTCAGTGAAGGAGGCCGACTTACTTTTCAGCTATGAAATTACAGCTGCTGCCACAGTCAGGCTTCCCCCAACTCATTTCTTTCTGACTGCCTTGTAGAGCCACACAACTACAGGATGCATCGCTGATTTAGCTGTTTGTTGTTGGAGACGACATAGACTTATGAACTAAATATGGCCAGAAGAGCATTTACTGTTCATTAAGTGTGTCTGTGTTGTAAAGAGTATGTGCTGAATAATGGACAGGGTATTTACATTTCCTGTGTAGTCCTATATGGATTTATAAGACTTATTGAAGGATACAGATGCCTTTCCTTAATTTCATTTGTGTTTTAATGTAGAATTTTCTATATTAATGAAATATTATATATTTTACCAACAGGCATATTGATTGCTTTATTTGGACTGCATGTGTTAACTATATATGCACTAGTATTTGTTCCTCTTTCATTGTGGACTCTGTTCTTTGCCTTTGTTAACTTCAGGTGTTTTTGAACATTTCAATGAGGAATAGATATCAGCAATAACCGTGGACACATGTTACTAAAACACTCTCTCCCTCTCTGACATCCCTTCCTCCAGCTACATTTTCCTTCCCCCCTGTTTTTTTCCCTTCACTTCCTCCGTTCATTGCATTCCTGCTCACCAATTCTGCCTCTGTTCTCCCTCATATCCCCATCTCTCTCTCTCTGTGTGTGTGTGTGTGTGTGTGTGTGTGTGTGTGTGTGTGTGTGTGTGTGTGTGTGTGTGTGTGTGTGTGTGTGTGTGTGTGTGGGGCCACGTAGGAACCTGGAGTTTCGGGATTGGTCCGCCCACTTGCTCCACTGTTAACTATGCAGCTACTGGTTAGCTCCAGTGCACCAGAGCTGAAAACAAAGCAAGCTGGAAAAAAAAAAGGTCTTAAATGATTAATAAAATGTCAAAAGCCCAGTTACCATGGAAATGGAACCAAGCCTGGAGTGAAACTTAATAATATTACTAGAAACAGAGTCGAGGAATTGATGAGTGTAACCCCCACTTTCCTGTTCCCTAGAGTGCACTCAAACTTACTCAGCACCTCATGCACAAAGCCGGTAATAGAGCGGCGGGCCCTATAACAACAGAGTACGTGTATATACAACTTATCTATGAGGAAACACTCCCGGATTTTGTTATGTGACACTTAACACTTTAAAATCCTGACATTTCCTGCCTCTTAAGTGTTTATATTTCTTAAATTAACACAGTTTAACAGCTAAACTGTGAGATGGAAGGGGTATTTTGGGATTTGGAGACTCTGTTGCAGCAATTCCGAAAATTGTATCAGGTGAATTTGGGATGAAGGTTGCGTCAGAAACCCCTTGGAGTTCACTGGGGTAATTTCTCATTTTCAGTAAATACGCCATTGTTGTTATCGCTCATGAATAAGTAGAAAAATGAGCTGCTATGACTTTGAGTTCTTTTGAATCAAGGCTTTTCCGTTTGCCGCTGCTTCTATGAAGTCATATCTGAGGCTTGTTGTTCATTTGTACTTGGCACAATTATTTTTTACCTTCTAAAGCCTGAAAGACAAGTTCTCTTATGTAATCATAAGAAAAGTAAAACAATATTTTTGGTTCATGATGAGACGGTGGTGAGACAAATTATGATATGGCAGTATATAGAAAATTAGAAATAGATAATTAATGGGAAACACCGCTTAGACAAGTAGCCCCCTATTAACTGCAGCACAACTGGAGTGTTTCCTATACAAAGCAAATACCACATTAACATCAACTGCAGGCATTTATTAAGCTTCTGCTAATATTATAACTGTCTGGCTCTAATTATAATGCAGAGTAAAACAGGGGCTTTTCGGAAATAATGCAATTTCTCTCAGCTTTGTATCTTGAAATGGACACAGCCCTTTTTATTCCACTTCACGGTTAACCAACATAAACATTTAACCAGCCTTGTTGCCATGGAATCATACGAAGGCTCGGCTCCTCACTTTTAACCATAGCAGCTCTGACTGATAGGCTGACTAAGTGGCTATGTGGATGAATACATCACAAGCAGAAATGCCCAGCTTGTAGCATGTTTAAAGGGATTTAAAGGGGAAAATAGCTCATTATGAATTCCCTGTTGAACCAAGTCCATTCCGGTGTTAAACTGTTGAAACGTGCATCCACAAAAGGAGAGAGAGAAAAGGGGAGGCTGATAGATTGGAAATAATGATAATGTGGATTACAGTGAGTCAGATCCAAAGGAGACATGGAAAGAGAAAGGGAGAGATAAAGCAAGAAGTGCGCTCCTTGTCTTTGTTGGTGAACAGGGTTGTCCCAGTTCCTGCTCTGCTCCCTGACCGGCTGAAGCTGCCTCTCTGGTTACACTGTTTGGTAGCACGTGCTCCACATTTCCCCGTCTAAATGAGCCCAATGTGTCTCCATCAGTGAACCGACTGTAAGTTAATCTCTTTGTTGTCTAACAGCCTCGGCGGGGATGGGATACGGACAATGAAAAGGGGCGAACTACAGTGGACGAACGCCAAAAATAGGAGGAGTAGGAAGGATGTGGGTCCCAAAAATGTGAAATAAATCATTAAATTTACTCTCATGCTAATGCGTCTATAAATCAGCAGAGAAGCAGGACTCATAATACACCATCAGTGCATTAAAGCATGCATGAGTGGAATGATGGATGGGTGAAAGTATGAACGAGTGACAAGCTGGAAGAGAAAGAGAAACATTTGTCCTTGAAATTCAAAATGACACCCAATGGATTCAAATAATATCGAAAATGATTTGTCAAAATTTCATAGTACTGCAAAGATTTTCTCAATCGCATATCTTTTTTCTTTTTTTTTGACTCAAGGCAGATTTGTTGCATTACTGGCGGACAATCAAAGCACCCCAATTTGAAAATCCTCTGCAGGCCATTTAATCACCTCTGCTGGCACTTGAGCCTCTAGCATATCCCTGCCACTTTATTATCCACATCTCACGGGATATCCCACACGCTGCCATAAAAGCCCTCAATGCAAGTGGGAAAGAAACTTGGCAGAGACAAACGTAGGATAGACGACTTTATCTGTTTTTCTTCCACCACATGATAAGAGAGGTTAACCATTTTTAGACTTTGCTGCAAAATGTACCCTATTCATTCACTGTGGCCTGGGATAATGTATGATGAGAGTTTAGTTACAGTTTGTAGGAACATCCCAAAGTACAACTGCTTACTCTGTAGCTACAAAACTTGACTTCTTCAAGTTAGAAAAAATGGTGTGATTGCTCCTCTTCCTCTTCTCTACCTTAGCCTACAAGGAATTCTCCAAACCTGTTAAGTCGTTGTATTCTTCACACTAGGAATAGAATGTGGGTCAATGCCAGCTCAGTGGAGTTGACATGAGCTTACCAACTACTGACGCCAGCAGTTACACCACAGCTGCCGCCAGGTTACATTAGCACTGCACGGTACTAACGTGTGCCACCCTGACCACCTGACCCCCCCCCGACCAGATGTGTGAATGCATCTGTATAACTACCTCTACCAAGAAGCTAATGTTTTCAACCATGTCCTTTAGTTTGTCAGCAGGAGTACACAAAAACTACTGAACAAATTTCCACAGACGAGCTGGGAGGATGGGACATGAGGACTAATTTGGGGATCTTGATGAAAATAATCAGGCATATTTGTGCAATTTGGTGCCGCTTGATTGAATGTAAATGAACTGTTGGGCCTTGGCCAAAGTATGCACTCTACTGAGTACCATTGTTGGTTGGTTTGTTTGTTAGTCTGCAGGATTATGCAAAAACAACTCAATTCATGTCCATGAAACTTGGTAGGAGGATGGGACATGGGCCAAGAAAGAACCCATTAAATTATGGCATGGATCCCTTTCTTTGACACTGCAATCTTAATTTACAAAATTCAGATATTTAGAGGATATCTATGCATGTGTAATTTGCGACAGATGAAAACAAAATCACATGATCTTAGAGTTAACGTCACTTCCTGCCGCTACCTGCTGCACCTGGTTGCTCCACCTCTTGCCTGAATAATGCGGAGGGTTTGTTGCTGTTGTGAACGCATCTGTGCAGAAAACCACCTCCTGCATTGTGCATGTGTGAAAGGCAAACTGGGTAAACCCTGTAGCCATTCTCTGTATTTTACCCGAAGGTCGTGTCTGAAAATGGCTTCACTCAGCTTTAAACTTTGAAAGTTTGCAAGTAGCAGACAAGAAAGGTAGGAGGGGGTAACAAGGTATTTCTTTACTCGTCTACATTAGATTATTATTAATATTGCATGAGATGCATTTACAGGTGTGCTTTAAATCAACGCCGGCCAATCCGGGGAGGGAACAGGGGCTGTCCATTTCATGATCAGGGCTATAAATGTGCATATGCTACATTTAGCCAACCTGTGGGTGGATGAGTAAAGTTCGACCCCAGAGCTTCACACATGGTTTGATCACTTCTGGTTCGTGCTTGTTTCCCATCATGCCCCCGCCTGCACCACCACGTGTACTTGTAAATGGCCCACATACTCTACATGCTACACAAGAAGCGAAGCTAGGCCAGCAGCGACAAAAGGGCCCTTTAATGTGTCTTTGTCAACAGTTGGGACACAAAGAGGAGCTGATGGAGACACTCCACCACCACCAGAGTCCTATTACTTAACAGAGCCGCCGGATCGATGGCTTCGATCGGTTTTGCATATGGGGTTATTGTTAGAGGGGGTCTTTACCTCACAGTCGTACAGGTCCGTTAGCTGGTCGATGATCCACTCCTCCAGGTTGAGCCTCTTCCTCAGCTCCTTGCGGTCGTATTTGACGGTAACGCGTCCCTGCTTCCGAACAGGCGTCTCCGGCTCCTCCGTGGTGCCGGCCGGCGTCTGGAAGTACACCCGGGGCTGAGGGCTCGTCTCCGGGCTGGTTACGGCGGCCATGGTCGCTCGCTTTTCCAGAGGTGGTTGTGGCGGTGGTGGTAGGAGGAGAGGGAGGGGGGTGAGTGGGAGAGAAGAACCGGGGAGGTGTGGAAAGAGGCGAGAAAAGAAGAAGAAGATCTGTCCGGCTGGAAACAAAAACAAGAATAACGCTCAAAAAACAAACAAATCCCGACCGGTGGACGTGTGACTGGAAATGTCCCCCTGAAGAAACAAGCGCTGGAACCTAATGCTTTTTCTTGTCCGGGGAAAAAGACATAAAAATGGAGAGAACGACGAGTGGAGCCGGCTTATTGTTCTATTTCCAGCAGGCAAACTCCGCTTATATAAAAAGCCTCAACTCCTCTCTGAGTACAAAGAGAAAATCTCCCTCTCTCTCTGCCTCTCTCTCTCTCTTTCTCGGCGCGTGCATGCGTGCTCTCTCCCACTGGTCTCGAGCACGAGGACAATATGCGGAAACAAACTTCAAATGATGAGTCTACAGAAAGAAAAACTAATCAATCCCTAATCCCCTCTTTTCAGAAACCATTCACATGTCAACACCCCCCCCCTCCACACACACACACACACACACTATTCTCTCAACTTTCAGATTTGCCCCCCCTCCCCACCCCTACAGTTCCCTTTTCATATTAGAACAAGCAGCAGAAGATGCTCTACACTAGAGGTGTGACAACACATTGATGCAGCGATATCTATGAATCAATGGATATGATTATCGATTTATAGTTTGGACTTGGTGGCCAGTGTTTTGAAATTGCAAGACATTACATCCAAAGACAAGATAAGGAGACATGTACATAAACATGTGTGCATGGGTGTATGTGGTGGAGGGGTTGGATGGAAAGAAAGGAGATATAGAAGAGAGAGGATGATGAAGAGAATTTTACAGGGGACCCCTCTCAGATTTCTGCGAAGTTGTGAACACGTCAGCGCGGAGAATCTCTTGCTGCGTTCCTCATGCAGTGGAAGGCAACCTCTGGAGAAAGTACCCAGTTCTGCAGACATTTTCTGGGGTAAGTACGCAATGAAATTACATAAACACAGCTAAGCATAGCTAAAACCTACAGAACACACAGCTATAGGGTCCGACAGAACTGCACGGTTGAGGCCTCACATTATCGTAGAGAAACCGAAATGTTCTCACAGCGAGCCAGAACTGGACTCAGTGTTGGGGGCCATCTTTGTTTGCACATAGTCATGGTGAATCCAAACTATTATTTACTGAAGGCCGACCAGGGTCGCAGTGCATCGTGCTGCACTTTTGTCCTCACACAGTTGCAGAAGTTTCGAGTTTGTCCCCAGGCCCTAACTTCTTCAAACAATTGTATTTGAATACTCATTTGAAAACTGTGAATCTATTCCATTAACAGGAAGCCACATTTTTTCACACACGTCCATTGTGTTGTAAGATGTGCAAACCACATCCTTGATATGATAGTGTGAGCAGCAGAGAGAGGTCAGCATGTAATATTAAATCTGTGGTGACCTTGGACACCGTGTGCGTGTGTGTGCGTGTGTGTGTGTGTGTGTGTGTGTGTGTGTGTGTAAAAGTCAGGTCCGGGGCTCTGATAATCTTATTAAGAACCTCAAACTTGCAAATAGCCACAGAGCAGTGAGCTTATTAGAAACTACACTGAGAATAAAGACTGGACATTGTTGGGGGACTTAAGCACCGCAGGAGGCCCGTACAGGACTCAGAGCCGACACAGAGCCGCTGTTGCCTCGTACTCATGTAGCTGTGTCATGTCCTGCCAATGTTGAAATGCTTTTCTTTCATGACACTTTTTCAGGAGCTTAACTAAAGTTGAAAATGAAAGTTGCATGTAACTGCTAGGAAGCATGAATCTGACATCTCTCCACTGAAAGTGCATGTGAAAACTGTATTTGTACTGTTCGGTACTTATTTACTCGGGTATTCCCATTTTCTGTACTCTGCGTCATTCCCATGATTTAAAAAAAACACTTTTTAATCACAACTTTAAGATTAACAAAAGCATCAGACAACAGTTTAAAATCTAGGTTTTGTTACTGCTGACAAAAACAGTATCTGGTTGCTTAACCTGAGGCCTAAAGATTTGAAATAATGGAATAATATTGGAATATATCTATTAAAACAGATATAAACAGTACAGATATCATCCAGAAAAATGTGATCGATGAGAACATCAATCTTAGGGGTCATTTTATGATCAAACATTTGATACCAAATTTGTATTTCACCCAAAAATAATGTTTTTAAATAAGTTTTTTAAATTTTGCTATTTTTATACAGTTGCATTAGTAAGTTTATGTATGTGAGTGTATGAGTACGTCTTCCACCTGTGGGGAGGCTGCAAATGTGAACGTGAGGGGAAGGAACAGATCCTGTTGTTGACTCTCAGTCACTACTTCCTCCTCCAGTGTGAACACATGCCATCACTCCAAGCTCCAATCTGTTCTGAATTCATAGATGTGGCTTTCCTGGTCTGTTCATATACAGTATCTACTTATGTGTACATATAGACTAACTTTGCAGTTTTGCTGTTAGATACAAAGATCTCCCTGCTTTCTTTCCTTTCAGGGATCAGGAGCTTTCCTTCCACATGAAGGCGCTGTTTCCTCTATTTCCAGTTTGGTGAGATGACACAAAAAAGAGGTTCAGCAGCATGAATGGGACAGTTTTGTCTCGGTAAAAATATACTACTGCATTGTATTCACTTTGTATGAGAAATAAACAGCCTGCCCCTGTTGTATGTTTTCACATATGTTAGAATAAGCTGATATTTTGTTTGTCATTACAGAAACAGAACACATTTCCTCTCCTCTAGTACACCTGAGGGCTGGAGTCAGGGAGAGGCCACACACATGGTTACCCAACACACCACCAGCTGGAGGGGTGCCAGTGAGGAGGAAGACAGATTTTCTACATTTGTAAGTTGGTTTATGATTAAAAAAAAAAACTCCGCTCAGATGCACTAAACAACTGCCTGGCAAATCATATCCACTACAAACCGTTGTCAAAACCTGAAGTGAAAAATCTGATGAACCACAAACGATATGAAAATCTTGGTAGGTTTCAGTTCTGCAGCGGCAGTCAATAGATTTTTCTATAAAATAAAAAGTCATGTAAAAATACTGTGTGGACATAATGGAGCAAGATTATCATCAGGGCAAACACAAAACAATGAACGATCCAGTTTTGAGAATGTAAGGAGTAGGAAGTACAGATATTCGGGTTCAAATGTACTGATAGTAAAAGTAAAAAGTTCTCAGGAAAATAAATAGTCAAGTAAAGTACAGATACCTGAAAAATCTTCTTAGAACTGTGTTAAAGGTCCCATGTTGTACCTTTCTGGGATTTAATCTGAGGCACTGGTATCCACAAGATGATATATCAGTGGTTTAAAGTCGAAAGAACTGCTGCAGTGTGTAATTCCCATAGACTGTAAATAAAGAGAGAATTCCTCTTCTTGACTGACGGCTCTCTGAGTGACACGCGACCAGGCCAATCACCTGTTGGAAGACATACGGTAGAGCACGCTGATTGGCTGACGATTGGTTCACTCATGGGCCGAAGCTTTGCTCTACTGTGCCATCAAGTGGACAATAAATGTAAAACAGGCAGAGTGATTATAATGAAAGCTTTGAATTGAATGAATGAATGAATGATGTTTGTGATGCCAATAGATGAAGAGATACTTTATTAATCCCTCAAGGAGAAATTCTTTTTACACTCATTTTTAACATGCATTTTAACCCCTGAGACACAACCACACAAAAAGAAGGATCTTGCACCTCGTAAAAGAAAGAGAAGATGACATTCTTGGAGGCAAACATAGGACAAGACTTCTCCACATCCTTCAGGACCCTCCACTTTGAACTGATGTTGAACCTGATTTTTCAGACAAAAAAAGAACAGAAAATAATTTCTAATATTATTAGCCTGTTACAGAGAACCGATGACACACATTATGTGTTCTTATTGTATGATGCCAATTTTGTGATACTGATTTAACACAAACACAAATATAGTTGGAGCAATGTCATGTCCCCTGCAGATAAAAAGAAATGTAAGGGACCAGGCGATGATTTATAAACTGTAAAGTTGTGCATTACTTATTATTAATGTAGGGGGGGGGGGTTTATTATAGGGAGTTATTCTAACAACCACATTGAAGGACATGATAACTTAATCTCTTGTTAAATAAATGACAGCCACAGTTCCTGTTTCCTTTATGATGCTACCTACATACTAAACATGCACATTCACAGTGTGACATAGGTGTAAGTTACCTGTAGTTACCGTGTTTGACCGGAGGGTGGCGACAGTTTATTATCTTGGCGCTGCACCGCTGCAAGCGTCAAGTTAGCGTCAACCACCGCGACACAACAGCTGAATAAAAGCATATAATAGATATATAATATACATATTTATATGGTATAAAAAAACATCTATGTCAAATCACAGCTCCCAGTCTGCGATCAGCGTTTTCCTGAACAGACTAAAAGACATGTAATTACCTTGGTCCTCAAAAAAACACATGAAAGTCATTGACCCTCACATAATGGAGCAGATAGCAGTGAAGACTGAACACTTAATATTGCATAAATCACATAAGCTATACATGCAGGTAGTTTTTACTTTTCCATCATTCACTACACTTAAAAAACTTTTTAAAGAAAAAAGAAATACATGATCCATTTGTATTTATTTATGTTTATTATTATTAGTAGTATTACTGGTATTTGCAGTATAATTATGATCATCATTATTGTATTTTTATTTTCATTTTTTATCATTATTGTAATGATTATTATTATTATTATTATTATTTTAATACTAATAATTATTGGCATTGTTATAATTTGTATTTATTATTATTATTAGCATGATTGGAATAATTATAATCATGATTATGCTTCTTCTTCTTCTTATCATTATTAGCATTATTATTTTGCATGACTTAATTCCATGTGTGGAATTTGACAGCAGGACTGAACCGGAAGTGAGTTTGTCCTCTGCAGGTAACGACACTGGTCCAGCCCACCAGAGGCTCGGATGAGGAAGTAGCTCCACTGATTCTGGCGCTGAACAGGAACAGCGATCGAATAAAAGTAGGTTTGTCTCCATTTAAGGGTTTGAGATCATGACCGGCGAGCAGCACGTGGTTCTGTGTTGTTTTCACGTGAAGGCGTGTGTTTTCAATCAGGTTAGCTCACTGAGGTTAGCTAGCAGCACAGCAGGGCTACAGAGCCCAGCCCATCACAGTGTTTCCTGTGTGTATGAAAGGATGGAGCAATGCTAACCTGCTCATAACACAGGCAGTGAAGTGGAGGCTGATTCAGGGTTAACGTGCGGTGTGGTGTGCAGGTGACTGAGGCTGAGCTTGTTCACACTAACCTGCTTTAACACAGAGCTAAGGACTGTGTCATCAAGGTTTCATCTCATGGTCATTCTTAGCAAAACATGACCTGTTCCTGGTCAGAGAGAGAGAGAGATTGATAGAGAGATAGATGGGTAGATAGATATTTACAATACAATCATTTTAGGGATAAGGTGATTGAAAGACACAAGAGGCAATACAAGTTGTACATTAAGCTAACATAGCCTGTGTTGAAAACAGTGCAAGAGTCAAACTTGAAGCACAAGAGATATGAAAAATATAAAATCAAACACAGATAATGGTAAAACTCTGGCATACCTAGTGACACGGTTAACGCAGAATGTCTGGGCTTTGTGATGGATGAATTATTCAAAACAAATCAGTGCTCAGAACTCCAAGCTACTGGTAACTGATGACGCTCACACATTCCTCTATAAAACCTATATGTCATGTTTATTAAGCATATCCGAGAGAGAGCAGGGTGCCACCGCTTTCAGCAGATGCCAATAACACTTTTAAATCTGCACGTGTGTGCTGTGGTTCTCTGTAGGTTTCCCCGCAGCCCCCCGCAGCCATGAAGCATCGACTGCACTTTGTGGTGGACCCCATAGGGTGGTTGTGCATCAGTATGGTATTTGGGATCTGGCTCTACAACACTTTCTTCATTCCTAAGCTGGTTCTGCTTCCCCACTACAATGAAGGACACATCCCCTGGGCCACGGTTGTTTGTGAGTGTCCTTGTTTTTGTAATGGACAGAGAAGGTGTCTCTCGCATTGCTCAGGGACATAGACAGTGAATTACCATCAAACTGCAGTATAATTACTCTGGATTGAAAGTGCTCTTTTTCTTTGTGTGTTCCTTCAGGTTATTACATGTCATCAGCCCTCTGCCTCGCTGCCCTCTTCAGAGCTTCCACAGCAGATCCCGGTCGCCTTCCTGTGGACCCCCACATACCTCACTCTGGTGCGAAACAAAGCCCACCTTACTGTCTTCCTTTACTAATTCCTATAAACCAAATCTTTTATTGTTCCGATGTGTAAGATAATGCATGTTTTTATTGTTTACCTGTAAATCTGTACACTAGCAATTAAGTGACCAATGACCATGATTGTAATAATGACGTCTCTCCTTAGTTGAAATAGATGCTGTTTTTATTGTGTCCCTTTATCATTGGTTAGCCAGTTTGTGAACCAGTAATAAAGTACATGTTGTTTTTATGTCACAGAGCGGGAGCACTGGGAGCTGTGCAATAAGTGCAACTTAATGAGACCTAAAAGGTCCCACCACTGCAGTCGCTGTGGCCACTGTGTGCGCAGGATGGACCACCACTGTCCCTGGTAAAGATGCACTCCACTAATGACATTCTTGCTCTGTATCTGGACTGCATGGCACTTTTCCAGTTAAATCAACAACTCACACGACAAGTCACATTCACCCATTCACACAAACACACACACACTTATACAGCGCTTCTATACACAAGGCTTTTTCTATCACAAGCTATTCATATGTTGTCGACACAACCATCAGGGTTGGGGTTCAATCTCTTGGCCAAGGTGCTGGGAATCAAACCGTTGATTTTAGAGAACTTTCTCTACCTCCAAAATTCCAAATTTAAAGTTGTGCAGATCAACAATTCTTCTATTTTACACCAGCATTCATCTGTATTCGTCTTTGTGGATAAAACTGACTTTTTGTGATGCTTCAAAAAAAAACAATTGTAGGGGATCACTGATTGTTTTTTCATCAATAAAAGATTCACAAACAGTGTTTTGTATTCTTATCAATATATCAATATAAACATAGAACATACAAAATTATTTGCTAAATCCAGTTCATTTCCAGGATCAATAACTGTGTGGGAGAAGACAACCACTGGCTCTTCCTGCAGCTCTGTTTCTACGCTCAGGTGCTAAGTTTGTTCACGCTGGTGTTGGACTTCTGCCAGTACTATTACTTCCAGCCACTGACGGGACTGGACCAGGTACGTTCTGCTGGAATATTAGTAAATTAGATAACTGACAGTGTGGTGTGCAATGTCAAGTACTTGCTGCTTCTATTCAGCCATCTGAAAGCTCTTGTGTCGTGTCGAGTCATCCACAGCACTGGTGGAATATAAAAGTTAATAATTGACGAAGAAAAGTGCACCAGACAATAGCATGTAACATGAAAGTGTCGCCGCTCTTTTTTCAGGAGAAGTTTACAACACGTCACGAACTGGCTCTGCTGCGGGGGTCAGCGGTCATGGGTATGGTCATGTTTGGTGGCATGACGAGCTTGTTTTACACCCAGATGACGGGCATCCTGTCTGTGAGTACTCAACCACCAGGGGGTTTATCATCTTGTTCCAAATGACATTCTCTAATGCAGTTAAGTTCATGTAATGATGCATGATGGCACGTTTTATTCACAGCATCATTTAGGTTTTTTTTTTGCTCCGTTGAATGCAAGTTCTAGCTTTTCACAAACCATACAGCAAGAAGCAGTGAGGCAGCAGAACTCAGCAGCAGCAGATGCCAGTAATGCAGTGATCAATATAGAAGAAGGGAGAGAATGTCTGGAGTCATTGGAGTATTGACCTTTGCTTTTTTTTGCCTTTACAGGATACTACCACCATTGAAAAAATGGCTCAGTTCTCAAGTGAAATGTAAGTCTTCTTAACCCATTCTGTTTCCTGTCTTTATGCTAAGCTAACCAGCTGCTGGCTCCAGCTATAAGTTGAACCATAGACTGTTCATAAAGATGGACGACATGACAGTCCCCCAAAAATGAAGCCAAAGCGTATCGATCGCCACGGTGGCTGGCTGCAGTATAGGTCAGAAACCCTGCCTCCTCAATGTTAGTGGATGGGAAATTACAAGTCAAATAATTCTTTTCTCAAGGATGGTTTCTCTCTTTTTAGGAAGTTCTTAAATTTAGACTGGCTCATGATTTGTCGAGCATTTGTACCTCGCTAAAGTGGGTTACGGTTACGGTGCAGACCCAGGATTCAAATACACAAGATGGCGGCGTTCATATCCAGGATATATATGCTTAATTTCAACATGTTGAACAAAGATAAGAAAGTGGTGTCTGTCTTTTTAACGTGCCAAGAAAACAAATATATGTATTTTCCAACATGTTGAACTTGTCGCTTCCAATGCTGTTGTAATGCAGATTTTCACATCAGTAATGACCTTTTTCTTTACTCTTCTTAGATATGGCTCACGGCGGTCCTGGCAGTGGGCACTAGCCGAAGTTTGCGGCACTCGCTGGAAACTCCTGTGGCTCCTCCCGCTCCGAGTCAGGCAGCCGCTCCAAGCCAGCCACCTCTTCCGCACCCACGTGTAGGTCAGCAGCACTACACTACCTCCTGCCTGCACAGATGCTACAGGCTGCCACAATGAAACACTGTATGCACACTTAAAGAATCCATCTGCTCGCCTTTACTGTCCTCTTTTGAGCTATGGGAGCTTGGTTTGTCGGTGGATACTGGAAGCTTTTATTTTTGTGTGTTTTCTTTTGTTTTTTTACCTTTCTCTACAAGACCCAGACCGGCAGTACACAGGGTCAACAAACACCTTTGGGAGTGATGGGAAAATGTTTCTTTTTTTTTTTTTTTTTACTCACTGTGATGGCTACTTTCAGCATTTGGAAATCTCTTTAATGGCTAATTGCATCAGAAGGATGGAAGTCTTCACCTGAAAGCTGCTGGTGAAAAGGGACCCCTCTCAGGTTACGTTAATAAAAAGAGCCTTTACTACTGACCTTTAATCAACCACAGACAGAACTAGGGTAACTCCGGTGTGTTTGTCAGAAAGGCAATTTTTTGTATAAAGTTTGTGCCTTGTTTCTTTTAGCTATGTCCTTTTTATTTGTTACACATGAGCAGTGTTTTTGCTCTGTGTTTGCTGGTTGGTGTTTTTCCAGTTTAGAATTTTCATGTGAATAAGTGATCTGGCGTCATCCGCCTTCTGCTAATCCGTGATCATTTAATTATTCATGAATGTTTCCTCGCATTGATCTTTGAACGTTTTATCTATGAAGTGATGTTTTATGAAGCACGGTCACAGAACAAAGTTGTTAACTTGAATGCTGATGACACGTGACCAGCCGGGTGTGAAGATGTGTAATAGCAGAGAGTTAACCCTTCATCATGGGAAAAAGAATCCAAATTTAGAAGCTGTAAATGTCATAGACCAACCAATTGTATAACCCATTTGTTTCTGAGTATAACAAACACTCCACTGCCAATTAATATCATGATCCCTTAAATCTCTCTGTTTATCTTAAAGGACTAGAGGTCGAGTGGCAGAGTATATCCAAACGCTAAGATGAAGCTGCAGCCAGCAGCTGATTAGCTTAACTTATAAAAATATATTTGAATTTGGACCTTCCCCTATCCATTAACACGTAGGACGTGGGTTTATGACTTGTACTGCAGCAAGCCACCAGGTGGCGATCGAGACATTTTGGCTTCACTTTTGGGAAGCAGTCATGTTGTCCATCTTCATATACAGTCTATGTTTCAACATAGACGGAACTTGTTGATAAGCATAATCGCTTTCTATCTGCAGCTTTACATTGACAGAACAGACATGAGAATGACATTGAGCCCCTAGTCTAACTTTTAAGAAGAGAGTGAATTTTGTCTGTTTAGCTTAAAGCTGCTCTATCAACCACAGCACTTACAAAGCTTTGGCACCAACCTTTGAATCAATAGTAATTTCTTCTTCTCATTTTAGTGCTGACTCTATCACAGAAACCAAACACTAGCAGATTAGAGTGTTGGTGACATACACCTAGTTAAATTGACAAAATGAAAATGTATTTATGATGTGAATTTGCTGTTATTCTATGGTACCGATTAGAGATTTTTAATGAATTATTTCACAGGATAAGACAATTCTGCAGATATGCTTCATAATACTAGCATAGCGGGGTTGCCATTGTCTATAATACTTGGCAATCTCTTATATATAAACAAAGCTTTTCATGTTTTGGAACAATTACAATATCCAAGTAGTATTAAGTGCCTGTCTAGGTTTTCTTCTTACGCTCACGGTACATCGTCATCATGTTGGTCTCCATACAAGCCAAAGACCTGGGGAAATGTTGCAATAGTCAACAAGCATTCAGCAAATGCATGTTCCACCATATTTCTTCAGAGTGGTTCAATATTATGCACTGATTTTTCATGTTAGCACGCAGTCTGTTCCACTGCATCTATCTCAGAAGAAACGTGTTCACTTGAAGTTGTTTTGTTTGACGTGTACGCTTTGCTCTGTTCATACCTCGTAATCGAGTTTCTCACGTTTGCATGAGTGTGTGTTGATAACTTTGCTCAGTGGTTTTTATAAATCAGATTCAGGTTTATGGATGTTTGTGAATTTTTTGGGGGGGTTGTGGGATAAGTGGTGTGATTGACAGTAAAAGAAGAGGGTACTGCTGATAAATAACACTCAATTTCTTTTATATGTTTTTTTTAAAAGCAATAAGCATTGTGTGTTTGTAAAGCCATCTTTATTGTTATAATCGTGAAATATCTGATACTTATTGTGAAGTATGTGAACTGGATGGAAGCAGGGTTTCGCTCATTACTCAATAACCCGTAGTAAATACATGATTGTTTGTCAATACTTCATTTACCTCAGCCAAGACGACTGTAGCTGCTGTGTGTAGTTGTAAAGCATATCTTCCATTACAAACATGTCAGCCATATTTGTTTGTTGAATCAGTCAAGAACTACAGGAGACTGAAGGTAAATATGGAAAATATCGAGGCCGTTATGTGGCATCCCCCAGGGCTCTCTGTTAGGATCTGTTCGCTTTTGTTCACATTGTTTTAATGCTGTATATATACTTTTTTTTTTTTTT